GCTGTCTTATTTATTTATTTGTGTTTCTATTTATTCCCTCTCACTCCAGTAGCTGATGAACTTGGCTCAAGATTCCATGGCCACTCTGTAGAATGCAGGAGATGAAAGGCATAAATAGCCAGAAAAGTCAGATTTCCATTTTAATGATAACTGGAAATGTAAACCTTGTCAAAAAGTCATCCACATGAAACATGGCGAGACAAATAAAATCTCTTTCAAAACCAGCTCAGTTCCAGTTGTCAGGGACAAGATCCATTATGGCAGTGCCTGCATGCAGTGTCTGGAATTGTCTTTCACTCACTAATGACTGGGAGGAAGTGATGAACTTCCTACTGGGAATGGCATTCACCCAGTGCTCCTGTCTCCTGTTTGTGTCGTGCTTTTAATGGACTTCTGTCTAAACACCAGGCCAATCCATATATATTGAGTTACCACTACCTGAAAGGCTTTGTGCTCTTCAACAGGGTCAATAAAAAAAGAAAAATACAAAAAGTACCACTCATCAAACACTTCCCTTTCCATACCCCATTCGGAAATGCACCATCATCTGCAGTTAGAAATGAAATTAAGGGCTAGGCATGCAACATCATCTGCAGCTAGAAATGAATTTAAGGGCTAAGTTTCACCTCATAAACTGATGTAGAGCATTGTACCTGAGGTGTGTTTTAAAGCTGTTCCAGAGGATAAATTTATGCAGTTAATCACAGAACCACAGGATGGCTGAGATCCACCTGCAGCTACCCAGGAGCATGTCTTTAAAAGTTTTTAAGTATCTTCAAAAAGAGAGACTCCACAACCTCCCGGGGCAGCCTGTTCCAGTGTTCTGTCACCCTCACAGCAAAAATACATCAGTGCATTCTAAGGAGCAGACAAATGACAGTTGGGATGACAAATATTGTATATTGTTGCTCCATTTTCTGTTTAGACACACACTGAGGGCGCTTCAGAAGAGTCTCTGGCAGTGTTGTTAATAAAATGTAATAAATCGAGGTGGAATTCATTTTATGTGAGTTTAGATGTCTAAAAGACACATTTCTGTTTGGGATAATGGTCCTTGAGCTGATTTGTGAAAAACTGCTCTCATCCCATGCAAGCTTTCCCAGAATTAATCTGGTAATAGTGGAGCTGAGTTGCAGGGATGCTGAGGAGAGTTATGGGAAAACTGGAAACAGAGTTTGGATGTCTCCCCCCTTTACCAAAGACCAGAGTGAGAGGAGTCCTTCAAATGAATAAAAAAAAGTCTCTGAGTTTCTCTCATGTTCTTCCATGTCAGATGAAAGTCACTTTCCATTATTATTGATGTAGGGCTCAAATCTGGGTTGATCATCTTCTTTTTACTGAGACAACAAACATGCCAGAGTTTCTTAGAAGTCCTGTTTGCCCTGTAAACAGAGTTGTGATTATCACAGTCTGTTCTTTTTTGTGATAAATGCAATGTTTCTATTTGGGTTTCTAATATAAGACTTTATTAATGTGATAAGAGTTTTCCTCTTTTTGATTTTTTTATAGTATGTATTGTGAATCTGTCAAAATCCTGGTGGTGATATATCTGTAATCATAAGGTACTAGATCATAATTGTAGAAAGTGTTCTTTAGTAGTTGTTTGAAGTATGGAGAGTTTACGTTACTCTCTTTTATTGTTTAAGTTTTTAATTATGTCTGTGTCAGTGGTATTTATTGGGGGGAATTTGTATTTTGTCTGTTATAAAATAACAGACAATAAAATACTATAAAACTCGCAACTTATAAAGCTATAATATAAACAAGAAATAATAAACATCTAAATCTAAACACAATGTATCATCTCAAACACTTCAATCCCAACCTTGACAGAAACAACAAAAAAAAAACAACAATGCAACACTAATTGTCTTCTGCATTCAAAGAGCTTTTGCTCTCCACCTTGAATTTCTCACTTGCTCTTAAATGGTTCTACTGCACTAGGAATAAAGCTCAGGCTCTCTATAGCATGGGGTGTGGGTATAAATACATAAAAAAAAAAAATCCCGGGGGGGCCAAAATGGTTAACCGGAAAAAATCCGGGAAAGAACAAAAAAAAAAAAAACGAACCGGAACTCCCCAAAAACCGGAAGCAAGGAAAAAGGGCCAACCCAAGTGCAATCCCGCCAAAGCCTTGCCGGAACCAAGCCCAAAATTTTTTTTGTGATGTGGAATGAGGCATTTCAGGCGTGGAGACCCTTTTCCATCACCTCAGAGTCCAGGAGAGCTGTGAATGTTGCTGCTGCTGCTGTTGGTGCCTGGGCTCTGCCTGCTGCCCTTGGCTTTCTGGTGGAAGGAGCAGCACCCCTGAGTCAGCCCCTGGGGCAAACAGGACGATGCATTTGCAGCCTGGAGGGGCTGAAATCCATTCTGTGGCAGCTGGAAACCCTGAGCTCTCCTGGATATTCCTTTCTGTTCAGGCACTTCCCTTTTACCTCCCTGCCTGTCTCCTGGAGTGATGCTTAAGCAGAAGAAACCAAGAGCCACAAATCTACAAGAAAAGGAAATCAACATTTTTTAAGTAGGAGAAGAGACCATAGACTGAGGCCCAGGAGTGAATATTGGATGATGTGTCAAGAGCTCTGTGCATGAAAGCTGAGTGCTGCCTGTGCCATCCTGACTCATCTACTGCTCATTATTCATTTGCATGAACATTAAAACTCCTTGTCCAGTTGTCTTTTACAATAACAATATTTTATTGTGTTATACTATAACAATATATTGTTATGTTATGCAATAATAATATATTATTATATAATAAACAAGTGCAAGTGCACACAGAGCACATTGTAATCACCAAATCTCTATTTCCTGTATTCCTTCTTGAGAATAAAATCAGGAAGGAAGGGAAAATTATAAGAGAAAGTATGCTGAGTTCTTCAGTGTGTCATTTGTCTAGGAAAATGAGATTTTACACAATTGGTTTTCTACTAGGAAAAAAATAGTGCTAATAGCTACATTTTTTTATTATTAG